AACTCTGATATGAGATGCTAAACATACTAATTGTCCAAAATTAACAATTTAATTCAATGCATTTAAAATATATTAACATGCTTAAATTCATGATTCGTACTTGTAGATTGGGACAGATGATAAAATCATTTCTAATTCTATATTTCATGATAATTTGGCTGTTGACTTGTGTGCTTGAATTGAAAGAACAAGTCAACGACCACTATCATTCAGAGTATATTTTGATTTTCACATATTATAGATACTTAAATTTACATAATATCAGGCTTGGGGTCAATTACTTTGAGATGTAATTAATTACTTTCAAATACATTGATAATTTTGTCAATTGCTTGCAATTACAATTACATTGATTTTTTCAAATGTAATTAATTACTTTCAATTACTTTGACAAATGTAATTAAATACATTTCAAATACTCGGGTTTTATTTTTATCAAAAAAAAAAAAAATGCAGATTTTTTTATTGAAGATTTTTTCTACAGTGAACTTTTATTCAGTGTTTTTGTCCTTGGGTATGAGGGCTTCAAACCTGGACAAAAATAGACCTTTACCTAATTAATGCACTGGGCAGTGTGACACACTGTATAAACAAATTACACATCATAAGACATTGAATTATTGTACAAACACAACCCCATGCTACACCAGTATGGTGTATTCAAGATCTTTTTGGTTAGTTTCTCAAATCCATATTTTTGAAGGATAAAAATATTTATTACAAATCCATTCATTATTTTCTATCTTAAAATGAATAGAGTACAGGTAAATCTAAAGAGGTATGTATAGTTAGTCTAATTACTGTAAAACAAATTAACTATCCAAACAATCTATTGTTATTTGCAAGTGGGAATAGGTGGAAGTGAGATTTTTAAAATGTGGGAATAGGTAGCATAAACACATCAGAATAAAAACTGTGTATCTTTTTTATATACTTTTATTTTCCAAAGAGTAATTGAAATGTAATTGAAAAGTAATTGAAAATACTTGACCTTTTTTGAAATGTATTTAAATACATTCAATTACTTGTAATTGAAAGCTTGCTCAAATACAAATTACTTCCAAATACTTTGAAAAATGTAATTAATTACACTCAATTACAATTACTTTATTCAATTACCCCATTCCTGCATAATGTACAGTATGCATAAGGGAGACCAGATATATTATTACTGCATTAAGGAGACCAACTACTATCCACATGCAAATCAGCATTCACAACTTCAGATATATTTCAATACCCTAGTTAATTACATGCTTTAATTATTACATGAACCAAATTTATGAGGGACATTAAACAACAAAGAAACAAAAAAAAAAATGCATGTCAGTCTTTAGATTTATATAATACAGGGTGTCTGAAAAGAAAGGTAACATTTTACCATTTTGATAACTTCGCTAAATCTCGAGCTATTTCTCACAGTGAATCGGATATCATTAGAAAGGGCTCAAATGAAAGTTTTTACCATGAGAAAAAATAATGTGCTAAAACTAATGACGTTCCAACACTATTACGTCATTTCAATTAAATGTTATTTCAATATGGCGTGACTTACGTCAGAAAAGTGTATTTTAATCGTTAAACAATTTTTTGAAACAAAATGTGTAACGGACTTTAAGCGAAAGTTTGGATCCCATTTTAAGAATTGTAATGAGCAGGAAACATGTCTACAAAATTATATCTAAATTCGAGTGACATGGATCAGTAGCAGATGCGCCAAAAGCAGGTCGACCCAGGTCAAGTGGGAGAACTCTACAAAAATGTTAGTACGCTTGAGAAATGCTTTCTAACAGTCCAGAGAAATCAATTAGACATTCCTCCTCAGAGACTGGAATCCCTAAAACTTGTGTTCATGACATATTTAGGAAGGATCTCAGACTTTTTCCATACAAAATTCAGATAATGCAGAGTTTGAGAATTTCAGATCAGGTTCAAAGACTTGATTTTTGTCGTTGGGCAGCTGACATTGCTGACAATTACACAGATGCATTTCAAAATGTTTGGTTTTCAGACAAATCACATTTCCTCCTCTCTGGACATATATGTAAACAAAACATGAGATTCTGGGGAAATGAACAGCCTCATTGTTACACAGAGAGACCATTGCAAAGTGAAAAATTAACTGTTTGGTGTGCCATATCATCACATGGAGTGATTGGCCCTTACGTGTTTACAGACACTATTAATTCACAATGATACCTGTCAATTTTGAAAAACAAATTTTGTTCCTGCGCTTCGAAAACGAACAGCAAATATGCAAAATGTATGGTTCATGCAAGATGGTGCTACAGCACAAACATCATGTAATATTGAATTAGATTATCTCAATGAAATCTTTAGTGACAAGGTAATTTCCCAGCGATACCCAAAAGTGCAGAAGTGTGGACAATATTGGCCTGCGCACAGTCCCTATTTGTACCCGTGCGATTGCTTTCTCTCAGGATACCTCGTCTTGCGTTTACAAACTAAAAACCAGTGGACACAAATATGCTTTTGTCAAATATTAAACGAGAATTTAAGATCAGCAAAGAAATGTGTCAAAATGTGATTGATAATTTCAAAGTGCGAGTTAGGGAAGGGAAGCTGGTGAAAGGACGTCACTTAGAGAATGTCATTAATTATTGAAATGACGATTAGTACTATGTACTTAAAATGCTGCAAAAATAATATTCTTTGACATATTAATTAAATTAAGCTATCGGATTAAACTTACTTGCTTGCTTTATATGTGTACATATTTTGATATAAATTCTTCTATATTAAAACTGCATTCTAAAAGTTTGAAAGTGTTACCTTTAATTATTTTCGGACACCCTGTACATGTATATTTTATGCATAAGGGAGACCAAATGTATTATTACCTATTATTATGCTTCCTGTCAGTTTGTCTCTATATAACCCATATCCTACTATTCTGGCATAGTGGTCTTAGGATTTAAATAATGTAAGCATACTATGCCAAAATAGTGCACGGACTTACTTACTGAATAAAATTCTTCAAAGCTCACGCCGGGAAACGAACTCACGACCGTAAGTTTAACCGTCTGATGCCTTATCGATTACGCCACAGACACGATCACTGATTGGTGGCATTTAATTAAATATTTAAACTTAATTTATACAATTGACACAATAAGGAGAAATAGACAAATATTATTTGAATAGTTTCGAACTAATTACATACAGACTGTTAGATGACCTGATGTCATGAAGTCATTAAAAGCTTTTTTATTTAACTCTTAATTTAAGGGTGTGAAAGAAAAATTTCAATGAGAATTGACGTATGCAAACAAATCAGTCGTAATAACAAAACAGAAAATAAAGATGAGTCGCTTTGGGACAGAAAATCCTGACTTATTTAGAGAAAATAACCTTATGTCCTAAAAAAAACCCCTAAGCATGTAACCAATTTTAGCATGAAGATTTTGAATGAGTTCTTGCAATAGAGCATCGTGTTAGCACCGATATTTTCAGGAAAAAGTCAAATTGCCACATAAATAATTATAACAGTCAGCATATTAATAACAATAGTGTTGCATTATGCATGTACTATGCCTAAATAGTAGGCAAGGTTTGACACATAGTGCACTCACCTCTGGCTCATGCACCATGTCTACTATTTAGGCATAGTACATGCATAATGCTACTCTATTATTTAAATGTAAGAGACCAATCCAAATGTAAGTCAGTATTCAAAACTTGAGATTTTAATACTCTAGTAATTATATGTTTTGTTAAATAAACTAAATATAAGAGGTACATTAAACAACAAACAAAAATACATGTTGATCTTTAAATTTGTATAATATATGTAACTATGCATAAGGGAGACCAAATGTATTATAACTGCATTAAGGAGACCAACTACTTTCTACATGTAAATCAGTATTCAAAACTTGAGATTTTATAATAACCTAGCAATTAATTTTCATTTTTTCCAAAATGTTTATCTCAATGCGATAGTGCAGTAATTTACTTTAAATTGTTTGTATTTAGATGACCTTAATCAATTTATCTCAGCCAGAATTAAAACAAAAAAAAGCTAATCACACAAGTGGGCAAACACATGAACAGAAAGATGGATATGATGATTCCTATGTACATGTATACACGCATGCTTATAATCAAACAATACACACTGGTATCAAATTTCAATTCAATATATGCAACCTCTGTGAAGAAAATTTAGCAAAACTAGTGACGGACCAGGGCTCTCGATTCTCTAAAATTGGGGCCGTTCAACGAACCTCGTTCCCAATGCAAAAAAGGTACCTTTTTCCCAAAAGAAAGGTGTAAATTTCCCAATTTCCATCCAGAGTAAAATATTAATTAAAAAATAAAAGTCCATCAAACCTAATCGCAAAAAAAAAAAAACAAACAAACAAACAAAACACATTTGCAAATGAAAGTGAAACTGTACTACTATTTTATTAGTTTGCGCAAAATGCATTCGTAAACTGGTTCGGGGAACCAGGTTATGGTTTTTACAAAAATGTATACAACTATGAGTGCAGAGTATCTTGTTATGTAGTTTCGACAAAAACCAGCATTTAATTGGGTTTCAAAAATAGACATTTCATTTAAACATTAGTAAGCTGCACCTAGAAACAAACCCGCGCTTCAGCATGTTCAGTCTCGTGCTGTATTGGTAAGCAAAGTTGCCCATGTGATCAAGGAAATTCGGGACTATGTGACTAGCGACTGTCACGCAGTAAGACATATAACCGCAATATCAACACTCAAAGATAGTAATGACAAAACTTTCATAAATTACGTACCCATTTTGTTCTGTTTAACTGTTTATTCAAACCTGAGTTAGCATTGATGATAAAATGCTAGAAATGCAAAATTTGAGGATTTTTTTATAAAAATGAATTTGTGTTATCCAACTTTTCCCAAAATGACGATAATTTTCCCAATTTGAACGGCCCCGGCCCCAGTCCCAAAAAGTGGTGTGAGAGGCCTGTGGACTACCAAACCTACCAACAGCATAGCAGCAAAGCAATATGTCTTCCCTTTTTTGAAAGGGATGCAAGCATAATTATAAGTGTACTTTTAATTGAATTAAAAACAAAATTACCCTTTGTCAGAATATAGATTAGCAGGAAGGCTGTTTTTCCTCATTTTTTCCATGTTAAATTCAGACTGTTCTTCGAAAGAATCTGGCATACACCCCTGCAAAAGTAAACAAGGAAGATAATAAAGAGCTCCTAAATCAACTGCACATTTTCTTAAAAGAGAACAGAGATAAGTTGTTTAAATGACCAGGACTACATACACAGAGATTAATCCCTACCTCAAAAACAGACTGCCATGGGCAGTCAGTAATTTCCTACTCTGATATGAGATGCTTAACATACTAATCGTCCAAAATCAACAATTTAATGCTTAAAGGCAGAGATTTTAAGCACCGCCTTCAAAAATACCTGGTCTGGGTAGCCCTGTCAATCAAGCGCGTGAAAGTCCATCATTGGATGCTGGAACTTGATTGTTATTTACTTACTGGTCTCTGTGTATACCCTGTACACCTTGTTTGGGACTCGTGGTGACCCTCTAATTAACTTTTGATCCTTTGATTTTTACTGAACATGGTATACAGAAACTGTATTATTACTATGAAAATTTTATATTGATAATATATGAATTAAATATACCTTTAGTATTATAATATAATATGCATTTAACAAAAATTATCCTTTAGCACATAAAACTTTTTTTGAAATTGAAATTTCGATATTAATTTTAATATGCTAAATGGTAAACCTAAAGTGGAGATATATTTCAATACCCTAGTTAATTACATGCTTTATTACATGAACTAAATCTAAGAAGGAATTAAATAACAAAGAAACAAACAAAAATACACGCCAGTTTTTAAATTTATATTGTATACATAAGGGAGACCAAATGTAATTTTACTGAATTTAAGAGACCAACTTCAATCTACACGTAAATCAGTATTCAAAACTTGAGATTTTTGTATTCGCATGAAGTAGAATATATGCCAAATCTTATGCGTGAAAAGAAAAAAACACTTGCTGTGGCCTTCAACTCGACCCTCAGATATATCGACAACATGTTGACAATTAACATTGGTAGTTTCCATTCCTACTTCAATACGATATATTCAGGAGAGCTTGAGATAAAAGATACCACAGACTCTGGCACATCTGTTTCTTACTTGGATATTTTACTTGAAAAAGATGTAAATCACTGTTAATGGTAACCTAACAACCTAGTTATATGATAAACGTGACGACTTTTGTATCGTCAACTTCCCTTAATTATGAAGCAATATATCTTCATCACCTGCATACGGAGTGTATGTACAGTGAAAACTGTCTAATCCGACACCTGAATAATCCGATACACTGTGAATTCCGATGTTAAATTCTTTTCCATTTGAGTAATTTCCTTGTTTTTAACACTGTGCAATCTGACACTCTGTCTATTCCGACACAATATTGCTCTCCCCGTGCATGTCAGATTAGACAGGTTTCTCTGTATCTCAGTTGATTTGATATGCAAGAGCATGCTCTACATACAAACAATTTCTAAAAAGAAGTAAATTATTGACAAGCAAGTTCAAGTTGATGAAACAAGAATATCAGCAGTCTTGTTTAAAGTCATCATTTTGTAAGTTCTATGGTCGATACAATGGACCTTGTCAGCAAATACAATTTAACATTGAGTCAAATGCTGACTGACGCTTTTCATACCAATTGTTAGTCCATTTTTTATACATTGAATTGATGACAAATTTTCCATTATTTCCCGATTATGACAAGGAGTACACGGCGGGTGTGACTAGTCAGCAGGGGATGCTCATTCCTCCATGGCACCTGATCTCACCTCTGATGTTTCGTCGGTCCGTGTTTGCTCTGCTCCTATTTAATATTGCTTACGGACTTCAATATTGAATACTGTTCGTTATCTCCATATCCTTATTTTATTACTCTAGTAAGTTTTACACTGTATGCTTTGTTAAATAAACTAAATATTAGAGGGACATTAAACAGGTCGAGGAAACTACCTTATATGGATATTGTCGCGATTGCGCACAGAGGTTCTCACAGCAAACAATAGTCCAATCCAGTGAATGAGCCGAAAAGCATGATAGTCTGCTACATGTTTATTTTTACTAACAAACACATGGGTCAGGGAAATTTAGGATGCGATTTCAAACGACTACAGGAGAGTCAGCAAACAATTTTTTTGAAATGTGTTATGAAAAATACGTAGATTGGGTACTAATTAAGATTCCCCATGGTGACATTAACAAATAAAGTAAGTTTTCCTTGTTAAATAGTACTTTGAAATACCCCTCTACTGCTCACAGTCTTCACATTGATAAGTTTTTTAACTTGATAATCATTAATTTGCTATGTTACTGGTTAAATTTATTCAGTTGTTGCTCAGTTATTTGTAACTAGAAATTAAAAGTTGCATTTTATAAACAAAAAAGAATTCTTAAGTTGCATTTTTTTATTATTTACCTGTAAGTTATATAAACCCTCATGCACATTGATCACAGAACGTGAGTAGCATATAATTTGAAGTTGTATACGTTGGAAACATTGACAATACGTAAGCACACCTCAGAGTTGATTGTTTTTGGACCAAGGAATAGTCACGTAAAATGACTTTTCACTGACAGCATAACACAGGGAAAGCTGTCAACAAACGGACTTTTACAATGGAGTGGAGAAAACCCTAATTTTTACCATTGTAAATCATTTGTATATAAATGTGAGCATGTAATTAGTAGATAATGATATTCATATTGTATTAAGTGTGTAAAATGCTTGGGAAAATGCATCACGTTTTTCCAAGAGCAATTTAAAAAACTGGCCTTTTAGAAACACACTTGTAATATTTTTGTAGTAAACCATAATGCAACTCATTGAGCTGATTGGTCGATTTGTCAGTCACGTTGGTTCCTCACTAAACATGTAAATTTATTCCGACTTCACAGAAAATAGTTTCCTCGACCTGTTAAACAACTAACAAAAATACATGTTGATCTTTAAATTTATATAATATACTGTATGCATAAGGGAGACCAATTGTATTATAACTGCATTTAGGAGACCAACTACTATCTACATGTAAATCACTTTATCAGTATTCAAAACTTGAGATTTTAATACCCTAGTAAGTTATATGTTTGTTAAATGAACTAAATCTAACAAGAACATTAAACTTCCCGTGAGGATCCGGGTTAGAATAGGTCCTCAGTACCCCCTTGCTTGTTGTAAAAGGTGACTAAATGGGGCGGTCCTTTGGATGAGACCGTATAAACCGAGGCCCCATGTTACAGCAGGTGTGGCACGATAAAGATCCCTCCCTGCTCAATGGCCCTGAGTGCCAAGCATAAGCCCAAATTTGCAGCCCTTCACCGGCAATGGTGACGTCTCCATATCAGTGAAATATTCTGGAGAGGGACGTTAAACAGTATACAATCAATCAATAAACAACAAATAAAAATACATGTAGATCTTTAAATTTATATAATATAATGTGTGCATAAGGGAGACCAAATGTATTATAACTGCATTAAGGAGACCAACTATTATCTACATGTAAATCAGCATTCAAAACTTGAGATTTTATAATACCCTAGTAATAAAGCTACATCTTTTCCAAAATGTCCATCCTAATACAATAGTAATTTACTTTAAATAGTTTGTATTCAGATGACCTTAATCAATTTATCTCAGCCATAATTAGAACAAAAAAGCTAATCACCCAAGTGGGCAAACACATAAACAAAGAGATGGACATGATGATTCCTATGCATTTATTAACCCATGCTTATAATCAAACAATATACGAGGGGTGATCAAAAAGTTTGCGAACTAATTGAATAACTTCCATAAAAGAAACAATATTTGGTTTCAATGTTGATTATATTTTAAATTATTCCTCTCCGATTTTAATGCACATCAACCACCATTCTACACATGCACGAATTACGTGATATTGGCGGTCATGTGACCCCCTCCGTAGCGTTCTGTCACAAAAATTGAAAGATTTTTCCGAGTTTTATATTTCTTTCCATGTGAGTAAATTTTTATAACAATAACAGTTAATTTGTTAGAAATGGTCAAATCTCGGCAACAGAATGGGTGGATAAGAATATCCTTTCAAAAAATAAACCATTAAAACACAAATCTTCTGTCTCTGGAGAGACCTTTATTCAAGGTGAATAGAGAATGGGTGCATCCTTTTTGTCATATCTAATATGTTTAAAATCCAAAGTAAACGATATCTTAGGTATTTAATAATTATATTATTCTTCAAATATTCAACTATTTTTCAAAGTGTAAATTGGAGGTCTTTGATAGCAAATTGCTTAATTAAAATCACATATCTTTTCAAACTTGCTTTGACTGGACAAGATCACAAGTGTCATTTTTAACCTTCTGCCTTCCTTCACTTAAACGATCAATCCAATCACGCAGCACTGTTAAGGCTAGAAAAAGGGGGCGGGGCCTAATTTATTCGGGAAAAGTTTACTGTGACGTCACACAAAAATATGACTTTTATGCATTTCATCATATTAACCGAAAATGAAATAATTTGCAACTTTAAACTGTATTAGCATAATAAACAACAATAAAACTTACCAATGCATTAACAAAAGTCGCTAGTTAAATCCCATACAGCTGGTTTTAAACAAATCACTGATCTCGATAAACTTGTCAATCATGACGTCATTTTGGTAAAAATGACGTATTTCATGTACTGTGAAAGGCAGATTTGGGAATTTTTTAACAATGAAAAATGCGTTTTATTATAAAACGTAATATTATTTACAGGTTTTAATAGGCTAATAATACCAATGTTTATCCTTTGTTAAGTGCGATTATTCATCAACTATCGAGAGAATGTATTTAAATAATTCTGTCGTGTTTTAATGTTCAGGTTAGGTATATTTTACATTGAGGTGCCTCATAAAATCGCTTTTTCGCAAGGGCATACACTAAATAAATCTTGACCATTTTTTGAATATAAATAAAGGATATGTTCCTTAACTTGAAAAGTGCTGCTGCTTTCTTTAAATCGAGAGCATGACTTTATAAGTACACAAAATATTTGGTAAAAGTCAAACATATTCCGACATCAGCCTATTTACTTGAAATTATAACTATTAAAACGCGAATTTTATTCAAAGCAGCAGCACTTTCCAGAAAGTACAAGCTATGCAGAAACAATTAATAGTTTGAATTTTTAATTTCAACTAGGGTATTCCCTTGCGATATTGAAATTTGTTCATGACCTACATTCCTTGTACCTACTATGCATTCATCACGTGACTGTCCATCGATGGGACCAAACTCCATACAGTACAGAGTAGGTTATACTATGCTATTTCCATAAGTATTTAAGTTCTGTGGTAATAGTGCAGCTGAATAAAAATAAATTCAGTTCTAAAAACAATTCCCGTTTTTACACTTCTATTTTCCGTTGATTTCTCGTAGTAAGCCTTAACAGTGCTGCGCATTAATCAAATTTATAGAACCCAATTTATCTTAATAAGCTGTGTACAAATTATTATATGATACTGCAGAGGGATTTCTAAGATATACGATAAATTGTACAGTTGTTTGTTGAACGAGTTCGACTGAGACAACCATTAATCGTCACAAGTGACCTATATCGTGACGTTATTTGCACATTGTGACATCACAAACAAGGAGAAAAACTTTATTCAGCATATGCTATTTATAGACCTTGTGTATGGCTATGTGCTTAAGAATTTTCATTCTAATCTGAATTGTGGTTTTGTAGATATAGAGATAGTTCGCGAACTTTTTGATCACCCCTCGTACACCAGTACCAAATTTCAATTCAATATGTGCAACCTCTGCGAAGGAAATGAACTAGTGGTGGACTATAAAACCGACCAACAGACAGCAGCAAAGCAATATGCCCTCCCTTTCTATGAAGGGGTGGGGGAGCATAATCATATGTGCACTTCTAATTGAATTAAACAAAATTACCCTTTGTCAGAATATAGATTTGTAAGCAGGAAGGCTGTTTTTCCTCATTTTTTCCATGTTAGATTCAGACTGTTCTTCAAAACATTCTGGCATACACCCCTGTAAAAGTAAACAGTGCATGTAATAAAGAGCTTCTAAATCAACTGCATATTTTTTTTTTAAAAGATCCACTCTAATATAATGTAATTTACATTTCAGTAAAATGATCAAGAAATCAATTGTAAGCTTTGCCAAGCTATTGGTCAAGAGCTGAGGCCTAAAATGCAAGTAAATCTAGTGCGTCTGTCTTTGTATCTGATTCTAAGGAGACCTAATATGCATGTACAGTAAATCTTGTCCTGCTATCTTTGTGTTTGACGTCAGTGGCCTTGTTTAATTTTAATCTACTAGTGTACATTTTAAAAATCTAAACTTTTAATTTTATTTAACAATGAAATGAAAATATAAGTTATCACTGACTAGTTAATAGAGTATGCAAGGGGCATTAAGGATAGTTGGAAATGTGGGATAAATTCTGCATCATAGTTTGCCTATCATGCAAATTATCCCACGTTCCCAACTCTCATTGATGCCCTGGCATACTCTACTAACTAGACTGTGATTCCTTAAATAAATCAATACATCTGTGACATTGCAATACCGTATAAGTACAATTCTTAGCGAGGATTTAATTTTGGCATTATTGGCGAGGGATCTGACAGCGCTAAAATTTAATATCGCTAAAAATTAATTGCGTATTATTTGTAATAGGTTCTTTGGTTAGCATTTTAAAATGGCTAAAATTACTTCTCGCTAAATATAAGAGAGCTGCATCTCGCTAAAATTTCCACTTAAATGGTATCATAGTAATTTACATGTTTAGTTTCATGAAATGAATCTATTTAATAGCATGTGTTTAGGCAATATGTGATTTGTTGGATGTACTCCGACTGACCAGTCAAATTAAATCACCCCTTCCCAATCATTTTTTTCAGCAATTTAAATATTTAATTTCTTTTCCTTCTATTCCACAGTATACAAAGTATAATTTTTCTAGGGTGATTTTTGATTAAAAATTTTTTTAGCAATAAATATAAAATTACGAGGGTTGTTCGAAATGTGGACAACTGTCATATCTTTTTTATTTGACGTCATATGTTATCCAAATTTGGTAGAAATATTTTAACAATAAATCCAAATGATATGTATTAATTTTGACAAAATATTACGATTGATTAAAGACTTATCCAGATTTTAAAAATGCAGAAATCGGATCGTGGAGCAGGTCAAAATTTAGTCAGTTACAGATAATACATAAATAATGTCTATAGTCATATTTTCTGTCAAATGGAGGAAAAACGAAAAACTACCTAGAAATTCAAATTAAGAATTGATTCATTGATACGTGTACCAAATTATGGTTTTATATTTTGCTTTGTTGAAAAGGAAATCAACTTGAGAAGACAAGTTGTCCTTATCAAAAACGACAAAAATGATGACGTTTTAGAACGTCACGGGGCAGCAGGTACCGAAGCAATTTTGTGTTTTTCTCAAGAAAAATCCTGAATAAACTCTAAAAATGTTGAAGGAATCAAGAAAATAAGTCACAAGCAAGTTGTGCATGTGTGTACATATATTACAGGCAATATTTGAGTGACAGGGACTCTGTATCGGATGAGGATGACCTGTGAAGAAACGGTTTTACTGTAAACATCTGAACAAAACTTTAAAAATTGAAACGTAAATGAAAGACAAATGCGCTTCAGAGTTGCTTATCCTGAGAAAGCAGAGTTAAGTACTAAAAGAAATTAAAACATTTACAAAGGAAATTATACAGAGAGATTAATTCTTAAAAAAATAAATGTCAAGTATTAGAAAAATAATTTAATGAATGGGAATTAGAATATTCTGTGTGAAATGAATAGGTATAGTATCTTTTATAAATTCTCGACGCTATGTGTTGACGTTACATTGCCGTTATGTGTGCTCCGCGGGTACTAAACATGTTGATTTTAAAATGAAGTAAATTGATTTCTGTTAGATCGAATAAAATGAAACTTCACACATCAACAAAACAAATATTTTTACATATTATAATGTGCTTGTTTTGAATTTCCGGTGAGTAATATAACGAAGATGGATATCTTCCACGAACATTTCGAACAACCCTCGTACATATATGGTCTGTGATTTTTATGACAGCTATCATTTTGTCCAAGTAAAACAAATAAGGCTACATAAAATTGAAATTCTGGTTCTCGGGCCCGCATGCATCTGTTTTGAGGTAGCCACATTGCTAATTTTATTGAATTTTTGATAAAATGAAAAGCTGGTATTGCAGAGACCAATCCAGAAAAAAAAACTGTCCTCATTCTTTTCGTAGATTAGTATTCAAATATCTCTTCCGGTAGCCATTTTCAAAGAGATTTTGGCTACTTGTGTACATCAAACAGAATATTTTTAATAATGGCCTTACCTTTGTCCAATGACCAATGAGCATTAGCACTGATTTTTCCTGTTCTTTCCTAATTGAATCAACCAGGCCACTCTGTAAAGTGCATATTTGTACTGTGTACAGGCGAATGAACAATATTTCTATACTATATACATTCGTCATTTAAGGCCATAATAAAAATATTCCTAGATTCTCATCCCGGCCCCAATTGATTCTATACCCCTGCCTCGATTTTTTAAATTTCTGTTTTTCTTCGTCTTAATTCTGATCGGGATAAAGTATTCATCTACCATTCTACTTTCGTTTTAAGTCCCGCGAAAGTCGATATGATTTTGACACCTGAAAAGATGGTAATTGCTGTAATACATGTGTATATATTTTAAACAAGGGTCATCAGTTGAAAAAGATTGGTGATGATGTGAAGTAAGAAATAATTGAACCTTCACTATGACTTTTATTCGGGTATTGTAGATAAAATTACACCAATTGACCAGGTCAATAAAAAATCTGCAAATTGAAAAAATATAAAATAAAAGCCGCCCGCCCGCCTTGATTTTTAAAAAATTTCGGATGAGAATCTAGCAATTTATTTATTATGGCCTAACTTTAAATTTATTTTTTTTTCAAAATTCATTATTTATCATGTTTATAGTGTTATTCTATTATCAAAATAAAAAAAACTATACTGTATATACTGGCTTTTAATGTGGTGTATTTTTTCAGGTTATTTCAAGTTTTGAAGGGATTTGGTATTTACCTGCTTATACAGTCCAGTCCAATACGAAAAATCGTAATATTACAGAATATCGTAATATTATTCTTATATTACTATTTTTCGTAATATAGTTAAATTACGAAAACTCGTAATATAGCATGTTGTGAGAGACTATGTTACGAGTTTTCGTAATGTAAGACAAAATTAAGCATTTAAAGAAACTGAATGATGTTAAGCAAAGTATGACGTCAGAAATACATTATGCCAAAATGGTACTAGTATCACGTGGTCATTTTGGTCAGTGACGCCTATCGAAAAGTATGAAAACGCAAGAAGAAAGTAACAATAGTAATGGGTGAGTGAAAGTTTTGTATTATTATTCTTATATAAGAATTTTCCCAGGGATGGGAACAATTTTCCATAAAACTTCAATGTATCCTAAAACTTGTCATAGTGTTCTATAATCCCCGAATTCCCTATATTTTTCCCGAAGTCTACCCTAAAAATCAGACCCTCATCTCCAACAACGAGATGTTACGGGATATAACTTGTACAACTTTCACTAGGCTCTGACTCTGCATGCTCTTGGATCAAATGCATCAAAACAAAGAAAATGCATGCATATCCACGATGATTTGATGAAACCAGAGACGTATAATCTCTCATGAAACATAACAAGCAGATTGTATCAGAAAAAAGGGAAGTAAATCTTAGAAGGGTTAGAAATTGCTTATATTACGAATTTTAGTAATATTACGATTTTTCGTATTGGACTGGACTGTTATAAGTTGGTGCAACTTTTTGACAGAATACATTAACCATTTGAGATCAATGCTCTGATGTTTAACTTGGATTGGACATACTTACCTTTTTATGTTTTGCTTATAAGTTTGATATAGAGTTCTGGACCAGAATTTAAATCCCTTCAAAATACTTATGAGCATGATCATAAGCGAGTATATACATTAACTGCTTTATACATGCATTAGGTGGACCAAATGCATTTTTGCAATATTACAAAAGACCATTGCAGCAAATGAAATCAATGTATGAATTGTATTCAAAACTATAGGTGTACTAATTGTCTAAAGTACAGGATATTTACATACGTATACCCACATGCCTAAATGTAACAACATGTAGTTTCAAAATTAATAATTTCAAATACCGTATAAGTGGAAATTTTAGCAAGACGCAAATTTAGCGATTTCTACCTGAAATCTGGTATTTCATTTTTAGCGAGAAGTAATTTTACCGATTTTGAAATGCTTACTAAACAAGGTATTACAAATAATACACAATTTATTTTTAGCGAAATTCAATTTTAGCGATATCAGCACCCTCGCTAATAATGCCAAAATTAAATCCTCGCTAAAAATTCTACTTATACGGAAAGTTTAAATTAAAGGGTTTAAAAAAATTTAAAAATAAGTCAAAATATTTTTGCTTTCTAAATATGGATAAGAAATGTCTACATGTAAATCAATCTAATCAAAATTATATGTTCCGAATCTGCTACCGCTTCTCAAACATCTAACAATATCTCATTCGGGTCACGTCAGAGTGACCTTTCGATTATGAATGCACATAAAAAATTTGACCAATCAGATTCAAGCTTCAGTAAACAATTCTAAAATAAGTTCCACAGCTATATATCATAATTGATACTGTCTTACGTTAAATTCAAGTAATTTCAATATAAATTCAATGTATATTTCACCAGTCTAGCATCCTTAAGTGAATAATGCAAATGAAAAAGCACAAACTATACAAGATATCCCGCATGTCACATTCATAAATAGCACAGCTTATGCAATGCATATTTTGTTTACTACGAAACTCCTCGTAATACGTATCATAATAACACAAGGAGTGCAACGCATTTTAGGTCACCTGGGAACCCCTGGCTTAATATCAAGGCTGTTGCACAATTAATCTTCAATCGAAAATCATAAAACACAAACCAATCTTTTTGGTAGGGACCATTCTTTATGGCTCTTAATGCATGATTTCAAATGCATGTTTTACAGCAGCAGCGGTGACATTTCTCCACAACTTCGCTCAAATATCCGTTGTCCGCGACGCCATGACGTGACGTCACGGGCGCATCCATTTACCCAAAAAGTAACAAAACTGCCTGAGATGCTAATCTAGATGATTGAGGTTGTATGCGAAAAGAAACCAGAGACAAGTTAGTAGACATTCAAGAAAATTTAAAATGGGGAGGTACAAGTACTTGTACTCGTTTCTAAATAATATCCTAATCTCTAGTTAATCGAATATGATTGTTTATTTTTTTTCTTTTTGGGTAAGTGGACCACCCATGATGTCACGTCATGGCGTCGCGGACAACCGTTGCACTCCTTGTGTTATTATTATAGGTATTACGTATTTTTTTTATTTACCGAAAATTTCGGCAAAATTGATAGGTTCGCGAACTCCTGTGATCATAAATTGCACTTTCATTTTCAAACTGTTGTTAGGTTACTGGTATGACTACATTGTTTGTTCATTCTTGTTCACACAATTTATAAAAGAGTATATTAGCAAAAGTAATTATCAATTTACCTTTCTTGGAATAAAGACATGTTGACCCTGGAGCTAAGATTTCCTCTCTTTCCACTTGGGTCCACAAAATTCTATCATAGACCCTGCAAATAGACATTAGGTATTTAATGGAAATAAAAAAAAAAATGGAATTAAGATCCATATATTTCTAACATGTCTAATGACTGACATAATGCAAATTCAAAGTAAAATAATAATATATATGTTTTAATTATAACTTAAGCAGACCAATTGCATTATAACATCCTTCAGGAGACCAACTTTAATCAACGTTTGAGAACTATTTGCAAGAACAATAAATTTGTTTATTATACCTCCGTAAATTTGTTCAGTATAAAAACATGACGAATAAACATGCTATCTTTTCCAAACAGCCCCTACTGTGAAATAGTTTTTGTGCTATCTGCCCATGGTGAAATAGTCATCAAACTATTCACCGGCAGCATTCTGTTTCCCTCGCTTTTCATCTCGGAAAACTTCTGGTTTTATACGGATTGTGACGCGTACATATTATGACGTAACAAAAGTTAAGTCAGCATTGGTATAATATGGAATATCATAATTAAGGACTCCCAAAAGTTAACAAAAGTTAAGTCAGCATCGGTATAATAAAACACCTATCTACTGGCTATGAGGACAATAGCAAGTTTATCGTCCCCCTAGACAGCAAACTATTTCCATGATTTCCCGAGGCGCAAGTCTTGGGGAACGATAAACTTGCTATTGTCCTCATAGCCAGTAAATAGGTGTATGCTATTTTACAGTATTAAATATGAATATCATTTGACATTTGATGAAAGTATAAGTGAAAAATTGGAATTACATTTTTTATGTTTAAGTTTTAAGTACCGCGATATAATGAGACACCAGTATACATGTATTGTCTACTGATAGTCCGAAATTTCTAAATAAAAAGAGATCGCTATAAATCTATATAACAGTAAAGTTACTTAAGGAATCACTGTCTAGTTTTGAGGGTATGCCAGGGCATCAACAATAGTGGGAAACATGAGATAATTTGCATAACAGGCGAAGCCTGTTATGCTAAAATTATCCCATGTTTCCCACTATGGTTGATGTCCCTGGCATACTCAATATACTAGACAGTGATTCTTATATTTCCATTTTTACTTGAAAAAAAAACCATCTTAAAATAAATCGAAATACCGTCTAATTGAGTAGATTTGAAATGCACAAGGCCCCATGACATCAAATTTTACTATTAAAAAATAGTCCCAAAAAAAAAACACGAAACAAATTTATTGATAATTTAGATACTGTAGTGAAATATCAACATTTATAGAATAAACAACAAAAAAATTTTAAATTACGATCAAAGTAATCTTGTTAACTTTAATTATATATGTGACCTAGATTTAGGTTGTCGGAAGCAAGAACATATACAGTCTTCACGAAAACTTTTCAAACTAACTGGCCAGTCGGACCAGTGAACTTTCAAAATATACTAGCCCACCAAAATTTTTACTGGTCCCTTTCATAAAAAAAGAAAATAAATACATTTTCATAACTGTAAATTTATTGCTAGCGCTCTCGAGCGCTAGCAACTACGTTAGTCCAAATTCCTTGAATACGCATGCTCGGCCGCCATGGCCATGCATTCTGGGAAAACTAATTTTCGCTCAACCAGACGCTCGGCTGTCTCCGTAATCTCCGACAAGCATCCTCTGGGTGGTCGGAGATTTACGGAGACAGCCGAGGGTCTGGTTGAAGACTAGGGAAAACTGTGAAAACTACAATAGACCGTACGATAACAATTTCGTTGTATAATGTTGTAGCATGAAATAACTGTTTATTTATTGTGTAGCTTACACTTTAAAGATAACTTCATATTTATAATATTTCAAATTCTGGATTTTTTTGCTGACAGAAAAGCCCGATCGAGTCATCATCTGATTGTTCTAAACAATGACAAGGGATTTTTTTTTAACATCTAAGCACAACCAAAAATAGATTCTAATTTCTGATTGGTCAATTCAGCCAATCTTACAAATTCCAGAAACAGAAGCAAGAATTTACATTAAAAATAACGAATAAATCCACTATTTGTGTTTAAAAATTCTGATGTATATGGCTTTTAACCTAACATATCTTGACAAAGATGACCGAAAGGACCAAGCTACTTCACATGCCTTCCAAACTCTCTGGACTCTTTACACAACATACACTTTGAGTTATTTTCTATATTCCTTTCAACTCCCATTTTTTTTCTAAATTGCCAAGAAATTCTCTTCTTTAAATCAGCTCATACATGCAATGTCTCAATCGGCATCTTCTTCATATTATATAGAACCCCCCCCCCCCTCTCCAGTAAAGGTCACCCACCCCTTGTTTCTATAAAATACGCTTCACAAAACAATAATAACTTTATCTCTCTCCAGCCTCGATAAAAGTTAAAGAATGCAGCAAAATAAATCACTTGATCACGGATCTTCCTTTCTGTGTTTAAAAATTGCTACGGCGCTAGCTCACCTATCTTTTTAAAAGATAAACTTGTACATGTTTACGTACTTCAACTTTTGAAATGCCGCCATTTTTCGCCCTTTGTCGCGTTTCGGTAAGTTGTTCGTTGGAACTTTGCACATTTTACGTACTAGTTAATAATTACTAGCTACTTCCGGTTGTTACGTAATACATCCATGTTATAATAGGGTTATAGTAATAGGATTCAACAACACGAGCTTCTTCGTTTTATTTTATATATTAATGAAATTTACACAAGTAAGTCAGTTGAAATAAATTTTGACTGTATGATTTTTATGATCAACGAGCCCATCGGACTTCTTGAATTTTGATTTTCACTGACCCGACCTCAAAATTCACTGGCCTCGGTCTTCGGACCAGTGAGTTTTCGTGAAGACTGCATATATAGGCACTATGTCACTTCTCCGCCGCCATATTGAATGGAATGTTGCAGTTGATGAAAAGGGAGTTGGTCAGCATGGTCAGGAAACCGATTTGTATGGGTGTTAAAATAACAGAAGAAATTGAGTTGCTTAAGAAGTCAGATGGTAATGACTGAGGGACGATGTCTGTATCAGATGATGGAGTACGTGCAGATCCACGTGGCAATGTCAATTTCTCCACGTGGCTGTTTACCAGGAAGTGTTCTCGGTCTCGCGAGGCCTCGGTGATACAGTGATTGGGAAGGGCTTGTGCCATGCGCCATAGTCGCATTGAAATGAAAAATGGCGCATTAAATCAATCAATCCTGGCGCCAAGATGCGCATTCAATTTTTAGCGATGTTATTTGGAAATATTTTGCGTACGACTTTCTTTCTTGTTTTACTTTCGTTTTTAAATCGGTCAATTTGAAATAACAAATCTCATTGGTTGAAACCTGTCAAAAAGTACTTCCGGTTAAACGAAGCACTTACATGAGTAGACTGGTACCCTGACATTGGTTAACGGGCGCAAGCGCCTTAAAAACCAACGACAGGTAACCACTGCCATTTTATCGCGTCACAGGAAACAGCACTGATGAAAAAATCTATATTTAGACTAGCGTAAATCCAAGTGCTGAAGTAAATAAACTCTTCTCTCTGCACTCTACACTGCTGTTAACAAAGAAAGTAGACGGATTTTAAGCATCTATAAAACCATAAAGAAGTGCTGCCTCAAAAACCATTAAATGTAAAGCGATATCACAGGTCCCATATGCATATACTACCAAAATAATTCAAATCAAGATCTATTGCATGATTAATTTTCCTACATATTTGCCACTGATATGAGAAATAAATCATCGATTTAGTTATAACACTTGTTCTTTATCATTATTTATGTTCTAAAGTTTACGGGGAATGCTTTAACTCGTCTCTCTAACTCCATGTGTTATGGTACATGCACCAGGAATAGGAGGATTACAATGTTTAACACTACGGAACATTTGAAAGTTCCTTGTGACAATATATTGTAAGTTAATGATATACTCAGTTAATAAAGTCCTTACTATGTTGTTTGAACAATTTCATCGTATTCAATTGCTCTATTCATCAAGAAAGATATGCTACAACGTTTTGTTTTCTCTGCTATTTAAATCGTTGGATCCACCTAACATTCTTCTCTGCAAGCATTGATGCCATTTATTTTTGGAATGCGCAGTACTATGCGCGGAGCAAGCAGTGAGTTTTTCCACTGTCATGGCGGCGGAGGTTACCTGTCCTTGTAATTCCTAGCGGCAGCGACTGGAATCAAGGGCAGAGAACCAGTGCTATTACATGAGGTGCAATACTTCATTCATTTGTATGGTAGGGCTGTTCCCTTTCCAAAACTGTCGTAATTTTAACACAAAATACGGGTCAGTTATATTCTAAGCAAGTTCCTTTAAATTTGCTGCATTTCATGCGTTAAAAATCGGATTCGGTTAATTAAAAGTGTGTTTTCTCTTGTATTATTGGTTAGTCACTTTGTTTTTTCTTGAAATGGCCCTTCAAATTATATTGATGGCCCATTCATTTTAGAAATGGCCCATCAAAAATGTTGACAGTTGCGCCATAGTCCCATTGACCATTTTGGCCTTCCCAATCACTGGTGATAGTGGACAGCGTTGCGCTAGTGACTTGCTTTCAAGCCAATTCATTATTTATTTTGTTTGTTGAAAAGAAATATCATATCAAATTATTTAGTTAAACAATTAAACAAAACATCTATTTTTTCTTTAGTATATTTATACGCCAGTGATATACATGCAGGTTGACACCTGACCTTTCAGTAAAAGAGAAATATACATACCACAGGGTATTTCCATGAAATTAACAAGATTCACTTTTGTAGTGTTATCACAGAGAAAACAATTGGAAATGGAAATATATATGGTAAACTAACATAAAACAAGATTACGAGAATTATGTTTACAAGGTCTGTAGGTAATGTAAACAGGTAACATTACATGTAAACACACGCTGGCTGGTGGCAGAGTCACTGCAAATACATGAGCCATATTCATGATATTAGGCCTAACCAACTTAGGCCTATGAAATTTAAAATGTAGTCTCCTAAATATTCATCTGCACACAGGGTATTCCATAAAGATAATAATTTAAAAAGTGTCAATATAAAATAAACAAACCTCAAAGTTGTTTCGAGGCTCTTCGTTCTTCCCTGCAATCCAACATTCTGGTTATCTGTCACTGAAAATGCAGGAAACAAGGCTAGGTTAATTCACTCATGCACATATTTGTTGACTTAATTTAAAAAATACGAAATAAACTTATAAACACATAAAAAAGAAGCAATTATGCTCAGATATTAAAGAAGAACACGATAACCTACATAAAATGAATGCACACGAATCACAATTTATCAATCAATGTTGACAAAACACGTGTGGGAAAAGTCGGGTGAAATCAAGGGACATACTAAAACAAGTCCCACGGGGAAAATAAGTCCCACATGAGTCCCACAGAAAAATAATGAGTCCCACCAGTAAATATGATATTTTATTAATATTTAACAACATATCTTTATAGATAATCATTGTTTTAGATATATTTTGAATAAATTTTGTCGCAAAAAAGGTTTTAGAAGCCGGTTACAATGATTAGTTACAAAAACAAAGAACGATAACTCCTATATCCTCATATAACTCTATAGTGTTTCCTAATCCCAACAAAAATGATAACATTTTAGTAGTTTTTGAAAGCAAAAATTAAAAGATAATATAATTTTATTATAAAATTAATTATATTTTAAAAATGCAAGAAGTTCTAAGATGTATTCTAATGATCATGTAATATGAACAAAGAGCAATAACTCTTACATCTGCCTCAAGTATTGAAGTAACAAGCCATCCAAATTTTAATTTTAAAGATTTTATGAAACTTTCACAATGTTCCTTGGTTTAAATGCCTTCTGTAGCAGTTCTAACGACTAATAAAAAACTACTACCAAAAATAGACATTTTCAATAATTTTTTATATAAATTAACAATTTTACAACATCAAAACTTGGGAAATTCAATGATTTTTTTCAATGCTAGTCTTGTGTAAAGTCAAGCATATGAGAAAGAGATTTTTAGTTAATATATGCAAACTTTCTTTTGAAAAATACGACTATACAGTCCTAGGAAATTAAATAGACCTACAAGTATTGTTTTAAAGATATAGAAAGTGAATTAGTTTACTCATTCATAACACGGTATGAAATTGAAAGTGATTTATATCTGACAACAGTGGTAAACTAGTATTTTAATGATATCTTTAATGATATCTTGATTTTTAAAAAAAAAATTACATTAAACTTTTATAATACTTTTATAATACTTTGTATTTTATAACAATTCAGTGAAATGAGGAATAGTTATGGACTATTAAAGTTTGGCTACTGAAGTCCGTATATAAAATTCGTTCATTAAAAAAAAAAAAATTCTTTCAGATCAAAATTAATTTGAACATCTAAATTCGTTGACTTTTTTTTTTTGGTACATATAATTCATGGTGTAAATCAAATCACTATAAAATTCCAGTTTTATTTTAAAAAATAATATTTTTTGACAAGTTCCATATCCAGGAGTATAACTGGCTTTAACATTAATTGTTAAATAATCTAAATTTTTATCTTTATTTACATGATGATTAATAAACACATTTTTTAATAAAGAAAATAGATAGATATAAACAGTTAATTCTCTGCATGGTATTTGTTCTACAAATTAATACAAAACATCATGGTTGTGCCTTTAATACTATTATTTGGAATCTTTTCATACACGTCAAGAATTTACAATACAGTTTATGCTGACTTAGTCTATTAATTCTAAATCATAATTCTTCATTAATTCAATTTTCAAGGAGTTTTTTTATTTATGAAATCAAATACGAAAATTTTTTATTAATAACCTTATTTGTCATACATAAATAGTAGCTGAAATTTCAATAACTCTACATTTAATTAAATATTTTATTTGAATTCCAAATGGTGTAACCTAGCCCCAGCCTTGTTCAAAAGTTATTGTAATAGGTATACAAACAACAGGGAGATTGAAAGGTGTGAATAACATTCCTCAGGTGTTGTATACAGGTATACCAGGGACGTATCTCTACAGGTGTCTGTGAAATGTGTATATACACAATAAACATGGGTGTCAGGAAAACCTACCAAGTTGTTGTTAAATTACATAAAACCACAGTAAAACTATTTTAGTTTGTAAGAAACAAAGTAATGATATAAAATTATGATAATAAAATAAAACGTAATTTGAGTTGTATAAAATATAATCATGATAATTGGAAGCATATTTTCAAACGAAACTTAAAAATTCAAGTAAAACAGAAGAACATATTAAATTCAGAAATAACACCATATTAAATTAACTTCCTTATTAAAAATATATTTTTACAAAAATTTTTATTTTGTTTTTTTTTTTTAAGAAAAAAGTTAGCTATCAGCAGTAATTAAACATTGTCAATATAGTTCTTGGCCATTGTTTACATTTGAACAGAGTTATCGTTCATGACTGTGGTCTGAAATTTACAATCGTCTATTTAACACACTTAAAACATTTTATCAAAACTTTTTTTGATATATGATCATATAAATATAATATTCTTTCAAAATAACCCTTTATTATATGTATTTATTGGCTCTTTTGCTGTGGGACTCACGTAGGACTCATGTGGGACTTATTTTCTCCGTGGGACTTGTTTTAGTATCAGCGGAAATCAACCGACATAAAAACAAAAACAAACGGTAGATCCGTGTCCGGGCGATTCCAGATGTCGTGAGACGATTAAAACAATACTATCTCCAAGAAGTAACAGTATTTATTACCCACAAACCTGGTTACACACAACAAAGAAGGGCCGGAGAGGAGTCTGGCACAACATCAACATGTCACGTGTTTAGTGGATGTAGTTATAAAAACTTGGCACTTCGAGCCCGATGATATTTATAGAAAAAGGGTACTTGTACCACAACAAAATAAAATAAAATAAGAAATTAATAATTTTGAATTGTTTCTGAAATAACCATAAATGGTTGTAATTTAATTTCTATATCCATTAAAGTATGCATATAATACAAAAATGTACGTCCAAACAATATTTATTGTTTCACTCCCTGTCACATCTTCATAAAGGGGCACCCCGCAAGCATATGCCTAAACTGATATAGGAATAAATTTTAGTTAAAGGAGGGGGGGGGGGGCAAACCCAAACATTTTCAGTTTCATTTCGTGGGGAATGGGGGGAGGGTTAAACCTCAAACGATTGTTTTATTTCTGTCACTGAATTGCTGAAAATAATGCAGGGAACTACATATCGTCGTGTACCCTAAATTCGTCCGTACCCTAAATTCGTCCCCAAACTTCTCGAGACCAGCACGTTTCGAACTTAGTATCGATGACGTCATTTTTAATTGTTATGACTAGTGAACATAATGATACAACTGTTTTAGCAATTATTTTTTTGAATTTGCAGTTTAAACTAGTATTAAACTTAATGAAAATAAAAATACTTAAAATATCTAATTTTTCCTTATGTCCATTTTTTATTGAAAGTGCACACAGCAGTTACGTTCCCCAAAATTACTTCCAGATCAAAAATTCCTTCATTTTATTATTTTATACCTGTCAGTGTATTGAATTACATGCATGGGCTTTTAATTTAAGAATTTAATAAAAAGAAATCAACACTCGAAAATCATAAGGATCCTATACACTTCTTACCTAGGATATTGACGTTACCCGTGTTTGGTTGACGTACTATGCGGCCATGCGAGTATCCCTAATTATTTCAGGGAAAAAAATCTAAGTCATCATTGCAAATGATAGAGTCTCCAAAAATCGAAGATTTTAACACTCACTTTAACTAACAGCTGTGAATGCTTCCAACAATAGAAATTCTGTTGGTACTATAAATTAAAACAATTTATACTGTGCTGCTGATTTTCCCTTCTCTTGTGTGTGTTTTTATATAATCCTGATAATTGAGATTTTTTCTATACAGGAATATGTTATTTAGACGGCAAATAAATAAAACCAAATATATTATATCAAAAATATTTACCATACGTGTATAAGAATTTATTATACCACCACCGTTCAAAAAAAATCAATCTTTCAACATGACCAAGCATTGATGATCACATTGTTTGAAAAGATCTACTTTTGACCTTGTCCAGTCGCAAGTCCTCATCACCCCCCCCCCCCACCCCACCCCTCCCCCATTGCCTGCAAAAAAAAAGTCGGTAAGTAGTCAAGTAATCAAGAAGAAAATATTTTATTTCAACAAACCAAGAATTTATTTTTTTGAATTGTCGATTTATTAAGCCGATCAAAGAAGGTGTATTTTTGTCACAATTTTTACCAGTTTGACAGGTGCAATGTGCATTGAAGCATTACTAATCCTGCGTCTACTGGGGCGAACTTCACGATATAATCAAGTAAACAAGATCTTTTCTGCGAATTCTTTAATTTCTCATCTACTGCAGAGCTAGTAGATGAATTTTTTTCCCCTGTTACGTGAATATTTCACATATTATTATAATACATGTAATTAGGTGATCAATTCAAGTCTACACATTAAATTATAGTTTTCCTATCGTTTTTCATTTCAGATTGTGCCAGACTTGCACTGTTCAAATATTTTGATTTTCTATCGGCTTTTGCCAGTTAGGTCAATGAATTTTGGAAAATCTAAAAATAAAACATTGTTTAAATCGCATATCAGGTAATTTGATGAGCATACATGACATCGTTGACAATGTTAATCCGAAAGCACGTTCATGTTTTTTTTTTTTTCGTTAAAAAAATGGAGTCGGTAATTGCGAAAGCATTTTTAATGTTCTTAAATTGATAAACATTTTTTTTTTTAAACTTTGCCTAGAAGAACTTATTTACAATTTTTATTTTAATGATTTTCCAACCTTTTAAATCACAAATCACGGGAGAACAAATAGACCAATCATATGCGGCCGTTTTATATCTGAAGGACGAAAATAGGGTATGGGTGATATTTTTAAGTGTAAAAGTTTGATTATGTAGAAGAGCTCTAAAAATCTTGTGAAGAGTGGTAAGAAAAGATAAATTTTAACATTTAATTAGCAATTCCATTCTATAACTAGCACTGAAGTTTGTTTATCAATTTGCACGCGCTCGTCGTTACTATGACGTCAAATGTCGTAAGGGGACGATTTATGGGTACACTAGGATACTATAGGCTGAGAAAATGATTTGTTGATTGGATAAAAATACTTAACAAATCACTATATATTCGAAATATCATAATGCTATGAAAAAATGAATTTCTAACACCTTGAAATGTAAACTTTTCGTGTACAGTGTAGGAGTGGAGAGTATACATGGTATAGGCCTACCCAATACGTAGGGGGGTTAGTACAACCAAACACCACATTATCAGTTTCAGGTTGAACGAGGCTACCAACAACAAAAATTGTTGATAAGCAAATAAAAAAAAAAAGATCACGAGGCAAAATAAAAATAGATCATTTAAGACTAGGAGGTAACTGTTATTACATAAAGCTTGAATAGGTGCTTCAGCCTGAGAGTGACTGCTTTTTTCTACAGAACATTCGGCTTTATTTTTAAATTTTGTTTGTGGACTTGCTTAATTTAAAAGAATAAAATACTATGACATCATTTAACTTTATTTCGAATTTCCTTCAGGTTCAAATACAGAACCATAGTTTAATTAAAATCTTACTTTCTTTCTTCAAAGTTTAATTACCCCACGCCCTAGCAATATAATGCATTGCTCTTCTTGTGTATTTTAAAATACAACTTATTACTATAATATTTAAGTTACTTACCGCAATACAACTCTTTCACAACATTCACGGTGTTCAAAGGTCATTCTCTGAAAACTGAAGAGGCATTCCGATGGTATTCGGAACAAATGACGGAAAGCACTTGCTAAGAATTCAGAACTTGGTGCATAAATTTTCATTATTTTTCCTCTTAAGTTTTTTAACATAAAAAATGGAAAAATAAGTTGAAAAAACACTCATTTGAACACATCAAACGGTGAAAAAAAATTATATGCAAGATTTTTCATTTTATTGCATGTTTTCCGTGGTCTGCATAATGCTGAAAAAATATCCTTTGAAATTATACACAGGTAACACATTCTTTTCTTTTTTAGGTAAGATGATAGAAATTAGACAACTTTTAAATGTTAAATCACAGACACAAAGATAACTTTTATTTAATGAAAGACTGTTTATTTACCTAAAACACGTCATTTGCAATACTCATGAGGTCAAAATATAAGGGAGACCAGAAAAGGTCGCCTTAATCCAGCGGTCTCCCTAAGCCAGATAATATATCCTCCGTGGTCTCCCTAAGCAACGTTTCATATATATATATATATATATATATATATATATATATATATATATATATATATATATATATATATATATGAAATTAAAATAATCATTGGATTTTTGATCAGCAAGATATACTTCAGTTTATATTATGTCTTTTAAATATTAAATAGAATACATATATCAGGAGTATATATATAGAGGATATTCAATGTTTTGTAGTTGAATATGGAATTTATTTCACGAGTGGGACAGGATTTCTTGATATTTTCACGAGTGCGAAGCACGAGTGAGAATATAAAAAAAATCATGTCTCACGAGTGAAATAAATTCCATATTCAACTACAAAACATTGAATTTTCTGTTTATTACATTTTTTAAAATAATTCTTTGATATTTCCTTTGCCTCTGTCTTTTTGTAATACAGTCATAAGTTCGTGACGTCATAGTTGAGCGGAGACGTCATAGCTAAGTGAGGTAAGAACACTGTAAACATGGATTTAGCAACATATTTTGGGTAATTTTGACAGTTTTATTCGCTGTCAGAATAGTTTATTTATTTCCATCTATCTTATATTAGGTAAAAGATCATTTTACAGCAATCTTTGTTATTGGAAGGGAAATCGAGAGTTTTCCCGCACTTCTGATATTCGTCAAACTGTGACAGGATATCATTTTGATATCCTTTCACACTGTGACAGGATATCATTTTTATTCAATGTATAAATTACAGTATTTCACGGGTAAAAATGTAATAAATTTTTGTATTGTCTACTCTGTTTCCGAGGTTGAAGACATATAAAAATGTTATAAATTAGTGTCAAGTGTCTAAAGATTAACAATTACCCCACCCCTACCCACCAAACCTGCCTATTTTTCCAAACACAATGAAAATGTTACATTATAAAACTTTAAAGGCGACGTAGTACTGAAAAACAAATATCGCATTCGTTTTCCCGATAGAGGAAATACATAAAAATGAAGTATTTAATATCCATTCTCTGTAACCACTTAAACTTTTGTGGCACGCATAGTGACAGATTTTTTTTTTCAAATTTGGCTGGAAAGTACCACCTCATAAACTACTTCAAAAAATATAGTTAGATCATATGAATGTTGAGTAGTTACCATGGAAACGGTGTCTAAAGTTGATTTTTTGTGAAAAAATGCAATATTTGCGAAAGTTTTTTAAAGAAATGCGGCTACTTCAATTCATGTTACTCACAGAAATAAGAAATATAACATCTAACTTTAAAAGGCATGTTAAAACCTTGTTGGTATTCTCTCTATAAATATGAGAATTCTTTGATTAAAATAGCAGACAATAACATTGAAATTGAATTATCTCCCTTTGATAATTGTGAGCTCTTCAGTAAGAAAGATAAAAAAAATTATTATATAAAAATGACTGGAAGTTGTTTACATATTGTCAGCATACAGCTCTGTTTATCCAGGAATTCCAGTAAAATCAACTGTTTTTCCTGTTTATTTAATTTACATACAAATATTAGCCTCTGTTTATATCCTACATGCAAAAGAATAATTTTGATATATGAAAAATGGTGAAATGTAAAAGCTAGATTACATAGTACAGGAAATCAGCTCTGTACATAAGCATTAGTCTCAAGGTCTAAGGAGTTTCAAAACGGGATTTAAGATAAATTTGAAATATCAGAATTACTTGTATTATGAATTTGTTTTTTTTTTTTAAGAATTACTGTGTCTTACGATCAGTCAGTGTGATATACTGGAGGACTGCAATGGATACGGCGTTAGAAAGCAAATGAATTTTTAAACTGAATATTATTATAGAGACTAATAATTTTTAAAAAACTGAATATGTCCTTGGCTGAAAGGAAAAAAAAATATACTGAATAATAGCTACAATTCCCATCCACAGGTCGTTATTTGAAATTCAGCAATATTTTTTGAAACCCATGGTATAATACATATTATATATGGGTTAGAAAATTGTTACCTATATGAGCCCCCCCCCCCCCCCTTCCTTAATGAAAAAGAGTTTGGGCATTTAATATATATATTATTGTTATTGTTTTTTTTCTTTGCTTTTAAGACTTTTTTCTGTGAAGAAGAAAATTAATAATTTTCCCTAAAAACATCTTGGAAATAAATGATATGTCCTGCCATGAAAATAAACCTAACTTAATCCCCCCCCTTCTGGATCAAAGGTCGTTCCCTAACCCATAGTAAACGCAGTCATATTATGTAGTTTTTAAACAGGATAAACAAGTATAAAATGTTTTGTTAACCAGTCAAAAATATACTTTTGATGATTGGGGTAGTTGCATAGAAATACAAATTGTCTGTGAATCAAATTTAAAGTTAACGGTTTATCATTTCTCTAGACTAAGATACATTATGATTTAAACTTATAGCAGTACAATATTAAATCTGTCTAGCAGTATTTTATTAATAATGAAAATAATTTTTGACCCCCCACCCCAAAAAAAAACAATTAATTAAAGCACAATAGCAGATTATTCGAACAGGTCCAGCAGATGTTTACAACAGATTATTATTGATTAAACTTTGGGAATATCAGATCTTTTGCGTAGATCCAGGCATATTTGTGCTGAAATATTATACCATCAACATCGCTAAAATCTAATTTTTTAAAGAATGATATTTCAAAGTAAATTAGATTTTCCCGTCAATTTCTCTGAAAAAAAGTCACTGGAAAACACATTTTGACTGTTACTTGAAAAGTTCGGATTGTTAAATATGGTTTAAAAAATGTACATTTAGGAGCAAGGGATTAGTTTACTAAAACAGCAGAAGAGTGTCTTTACATTCTTGTAGCGCAATTCTCTACATACAAGAAGTCTTGCACTCAATACTGTATACAGGGTTATTTTCGCCCCGTGTTATTTTCGCCCTTTTGCGCATGCAAACAATTTTGCCCCGTTTTAAATTCGCCCATTCATAATTCTGTTTAGGAAATTATGCTGTGTAATTTGAATTCGCCCCGTCTTAAATTCGCCCAGTCAAGAAGAGGGCGAAAGGGGCGAAAATAAAATGGGGGCGAAAAGTTCCCTGTATACAGTATGGAAAGTGTATAGTCGTCCAATATTCTTAAATGCCTACCTTTATATCAATAAAACCTGAAAACTGTACTTATATTAGCATTTTCACATTATGCATCAACCTAAAAGGAGAATGTAAAACCAGTTTTCAATTAAATACATTCAATATACGGGATCGAGGTCAGGATACAACATTTACAATACCAGTATTCCGAATAACCGAGTATAAATGCATTATTAACAAGCTAATTCAAAGAATATTTTTCCCCTGCTTAAGGAGATAAAAATTTCTGTAGATTAAGGGGGGGGGGGTGTTGGAGGGTGGTTGGGTAGGGGATGGGACACTTAACGTGGGGCGGGCGGGACCATGGAGCGTTATGAACAAAAAATAAGCTAACCTAAACGCTTTTTGAGATATTACTCGGAAATGAGAGGTTTACATACAAACAATGTCTTTTTCTACCTTTACCTTTTGACCTAGAAATAAATAGGGGTCATTTTAAGCCAAAGCAAGTTCTGGTATAAACTCAAATTGAAAAAAATCATAGGCTTCTTAAGATATCCCATGAAAATAAAATGTTAAAACAGACAGAGGGGGGAGGGTATTTTTATAGACAAAAAAAAAGAAAATAAATGACTATTTTCTCTCCCAATTTCAAAGTGATTAACAGCTTAAACTGTGTATTTTATTAAGTATGTTTTACTTATTTGTGTAAAACATGAGAAAAAATCTGTGTAACATTTAATTACATCCAAGATTTTTTCAAAATATGGTGATGCTTGAAAGTATTTCAATGGAAAATATCATAGATTCCTCCCCCCCCCCCCCCCCGTTAATTCAAGAGTTGGAATAAGGGATAATGTACTATTTAGCACAGGTATTAAAATAATGAATCAAATACCATTTAACTGTTTTTTATATATTTAATAAAGATTTTATTGCTAAATTGCCATTAATATTGAATAAAATGGTAGCAAAATGTAGGCGGGAATTGAGAGTTAGCGTGCATAGTTCTTTATATACCACTGTGACCTTGAACTTTGACCTTCTGTCCATACGGGCACACATTCATATGATGCTAGTTATTGTTGACCAGAACTGTAACTTTGTTTCTTCATTTGTTATCTAAAACACAAATATTAGTTATGACACAGAAAAAATGTTGTTTAGTTTTCTTAAATATCTATCAAAATTGGCCATTTTGACCTTGACCTTTGACCCTTAGTCATGAAAATTGATTTTTTCGCTTTGTTTTTGCTATTTTTTTACCATATATCTAAATTTGATTTAATACATTTCAATATACTCAGGCAATTTTATGGATCCTGATTGTATGTACGTATTGTACTTTTCTAGGATTTTGAAAAAAAGCATAAGTTTGTAACCATGGTAACAAGAAAACTAAATATGAAAACCAAGTAGTTCTTTGTAGTGTATATTAGAACTATACGTGGACTTTCGAACCAATGTATTCATTTTTTCCAAACTATCCGCAAAAAAATTATACCTGGCTTTTCAAAAGAGCCTAAAATCTACAATTTTCCACAAGAAAAATCCTACCTATAAATGAGGGATATTTTTTCTATGAGGAAAAAGTTACTGAAATACTAAAAATTTTCTAAAGCACTGTAAAATGATGTATGAATTAATTAAAAAATTATATCTACAATACAGCTTGGTGATATGAATTCAAATAAATGCGGCATTTATTTTATCTTATAGCAAATAGTAGATGAGTCTAAATTAGATGCAGAACTATATAGCGTTATGGTGTTATATTTTAGTCTCTGGCTATAGCTTTGTTATATTTTAGTCTCTGGCTATAGATTTATGGCCAAAGACTACAAGATACTTTTATTAAACCTTATATAACGCTACAGTTCGATTCAGCAGTCAAGTCTCACTGCACAAATGTACCCTTTATAAATGTAATGAAATATATACCCTTAAATTATTGTGCAGTG